AATACTTGCGTTAAATACCGAATTAAATTAGATCAAATATCTATAATACCTGGTAGAATCAATATTGAATGGACACGGTTCTACTTACAGTAACCATCTACTCGTTTCTACAGCCGGAACCCCCTACTGAGAATGACGTTTCACCCGCCAACAGAGAGCGCCCACCATCCTCTTAATAATTTCCTACTAAAAACCTGTACATGACGAACGAGGCTTTATCAGTCATTCAATAATTCAAAAATTTCAAAACAAAAAGACTGTTTCAGCAGGGTTTTTTATGCTCGGCAAATGACACCTATTTAAACGAAACAGCAGAACGCTACTGCTCCCAGTGAGCTCCTTGCTTATCATTTTCAAAAAGCCATGAAGCTCTAATCACTGTTCAAGCAAAAAGCTGAAAAGTTTTATAACAAAATATGACGAAAGTTCAGAATACAAATTTATAATTTTAAAAAACTCCTATTCAACTTAACAAATTGACAGTGCTACTAACTACCAGTAAAAATATGAAATCTACATAGACTTTTAAATCAACGGATTTTACTGCCTTTTACTGACACGATTAATATGTACGAAGAAACACTGTGGTTCACAAAAAGTATTGTTAAGGCGATGCCATTGTAACATAAGAATTTTCTAACAAACGAGTTAACTAATTTTATAAAATCATATAATGACCTCTACCTTCTACTCCTTCAAATTGCTAATGAAATAAATAAGATCCATCTTTTCCTGCTTCTCAGAAAAGAGCACTTTTTTTCGCTATAAGTAGTTCTAGACTAGATAACCTCTCCTTTCAATAAACAAACTTCATAGAAAACCAGCAACTGGAATAATTTCGACTTCAAACAGGCCAGTTGGTATCCTTATGGCTTATCCTTTAACCTCAATTCTTCTTAGAGGAAGACGACCTGACAATTCTTTATTGAATTCTCTTCCTGAATAAGATTTGTGCGTCCCATCAAAAAAAACAGCTTCATTCAAAGTCCTTTCACTTGCCTTGATACCCAACCTAAATAGCGGAGTCTAACAATGAGAACTGATAGTTTTGCCTGGTAATAGAGAAGTTTTCACACCGTGAAAGGACTCGCGACGAATAGTCCGGAATTACCGGCTGTAGGAGAACGTTGCATATCCGAACAGTTTCGTATGTCAGATAGAGCACCGATGACAACTGAAAAGTAAGTTTAGAAATCTTCAGTAAAAATTATCAAAACACTAGTAAGTGCAAATTAGTCAGTTTCAAAATTAATTATTCAGTACTAACTTAGCAATGAAAGTGCTGGGAACCATCTATGAAACGAAATTTTTAATAAAAACTCTAAAACAAAGTCGAAGAAATGTCAGTTAAAACAATAAGTAATTTGTTTTCCGCTGCCGATAATTAAATTTCACTTACTTCTTTTTCAGAATTCATTTTCCACGGCTCACAAACTGTAAAGAATGCATTCGCTTGATGAGCGGTTTGCATTATTTTGGTTAACGCTTTGTACACCATGAGATTGTCGTAATCAACGCTACATCTTTCTGCAGTTTATAATTGGACTTTGATTATCAAACCCAGCCGCTCCAAAAATAAAAAAATCAAACTGACCTTTCAAAGTATTCAAGTTTTCAATAAGATCGCTACTTGCCCTTTTGATCTCATCATTTAACGACGAAAAGTCAAAGAAAGGATAAAGTTGCTTTTCATTCATTTTCTTGATAGTTGAACGCTGTAGCAAGTTCCCCATAGTGTTTACCAGATCGGTATTGATTAGATCTATTGCACTTGAAAGCGTAAAATCTGCAATACAAACAACCTGTTTTTATGGAAGCAGAATAAAAACAAATGCTAGGAACCAAGGTTAGAATAAGGAAAGCAGAGTTAAAAACGAAAAGAATGTCAAATTATATCCGAAATACTGAATTCTGACTTCCATCACTCTGCGGAACACCCTGCTTTAAAAGAAAATATCTCATGCCATCAGTGGTCAGTTTCTCAGCTGCTTCAAATGGATCAACCACATTACCTGTACTTTTAGACATCTAAAAAAACCATTGCAGTGATGAGTTCAGCAAACACAAAAAGCACAGACTTCACCCACCTTAACCCCTTCACAAAGCCAATGACCATGAACATATAGGGTTTTCGGGAGCGGGATATCAAGCGCTAATAAAAATGCTGGCCAGTATACCGCGTGAAATCTAAATACAAAAAAATGCTAACCAGAAAGGAAAATTGTTGCTCTTCTATAAATAGCTGTATCCCTTTCAAAACCCATCAAACCTCCAGTTTTTCAAAACCCAACGGCTTTAAGATATATTAGCTTTCAACCAAAACACGAAAGTCTATCTGCAGATTCGTGTCGCTAATTTTGGAATTATTATAGTTACTTTGAATTCGCAGTTTTAAAAAAGCGAAACACCTTCTCTACAAGGAAAAAACTTCAGCACTGACACCCGTACATTACTGTCGTCAATCTCGCTATAATTTTTAATTTTGTTTCCAAGAAATTTTTTTCACAAAGGAAACAAACGTCATCACCAGCTGCTTCGCTTATTTTATTGAAACAATCAAAAATGCAGTAGGTAAAAAAAACTCTGTTAAATTCAGTACGATTTTGGCAATAAGACTATCTAATTTTCCAATCATTCCCAAAAATCCAAAGTATTCTTCGGCAACGCCCATCTTGACCACAAAGAAAAATTTGTCATCTGAAAATGCATAAGATTTTGATATGATTCAATCTATGGCATCTAACGCCAGTTAAACGGATTCACACGACGCTTGCATGCTACACAACCAGTTGAAGCAAAAACATTTTTAAGCCCTTTAAATTTATCCTTGAGACCAACATACTTTTTTGAAAATTCGACAATTCATGTAAATTTCTCCAGTTAACAAATACTATCGATATAATATAAAAAAATTGAAATTAGAAACTGGCTGCCCTTTTAATCCAAACCAAAACCACTCCTCATTAAAACTACAAATCGTCCTCAAGAACGGTTCTCATCAGCTTTAATCAAAGAGTAGTAAAAGAATATTACTATTTCTTTAGCTGAAATTCAATTCCAAATTTGAAGAAAACTGCAGGCCATCAATTTCTTAAAAATTATTTGTTCCAGCTTTTAAAACTGATCTTTAAACTTTATCACAAAATTCTCAACGCTTGTATGTGTGATTCGTTAAAGTTATACTACAGAAAATGCCAGGTAAACACGCGTTAAAGAGTCAGTTATGTCCCAAGTAAAAAACTGACTAAAATAAAAAAAAACCGTCATAATGTAAATTCAGTGACTTACTTCAATATATCTTTCCCCAAAATTTGATACGTCGGAGGCCAACATACCTGACTTTCTGCGGGGAAACCACTTGCAGTTAAGTAACTCATTAAAGCATCTAACCAAACATAGACCTTAAAACCACAAAAAATTGGACTTAGATGCCAAAATAAACATTAGTAATGCATCTACCTTCATAAACAAAACTAATAACCATAAAGGGGACAAAAAAATTTAAATTTGGAAATAGAAGACGACATTCTCGTCTCTCCAATATTCGTATTCATGAAAAATAATTCGTACCGTTTGAGTGGGGTCGCCTGGTACCGGTATTCCCCACTTTAAACGCCTCCTGTCACGGGACACAGACAACACTTTAGTATTATCTAAAGTGTGCAGAACCACCTCAGCGTATTTTGAAGGCTGAATAACATCTTAAAAAGTAACACGCTTATAGCAATTGATATTTCGATGAATAACTTTATCGTCAAGCCGAACCGAAACTGAATAATGTTTTAATAGATTATTTTTACACCAATTCAAAAAACGTCTCTCTTCTTAAAGATAAATTGTACAAAAAAGTAATTATTTAGAGCGTGAACTAACCATTTTCAATCAACCACTTGCGTATGGAAGGCAGAAACTTTGGCAGATCAAATAAATAATTTTCTTCTTCTACCCATTCAACTAATGAACCAGTTGATTTGCTAACCTTTAACAAAACTTTTTACTTGACACTGCTAAAGATGAAAGTTGAAAACGAGGATCTTATCGTAGTAAACCTTACTAGTCAAAAACATGAGAAAACTTACTTTGAAATCACGATTGTCGGTTGTTGTCTCGTGCTCCGAGTAAAAACATTCATCAGTTGTGGAGTACCACCCGCGATACTTGCTTTTGAAAATGAAACCCTTTTCAAACAAAGTTGTCTGAAAGCAAAAAGCCACACCTTAACACCTAGCAGTCAGTGCTTTTTGAGATTTTATGCTCAATTTATGGTATAATAAAGGAAAACATCATCAAAAATAAAGGATTAAAACAAGACACCACTGAAATTACTTTTTGTTAAAAAGTTTGAGCTCTTATTTCGTAGACATTCCGAGGTCTTACTTCACTTTTACTTCCCAGCTTACTACTTTTTTGAAAGAATGCAATCCTTCGGAAGGAGGTTCCAATAATTTTAAGCATTGATGTAGAACTTACCCAGACTTTAGCAACCGTCTTTTTATGGCCTTCATCTGTCGTCCGCAGAAATGTGGTAGGACAAACATTAAAAAATTTAAATAATCTTTTGAAATCGTTACTAATCCTGTCACAAAAAACGAGTGGTTCGCATTTTGCATTTTCTGCTGCTTGCTGAATCTAAAAAAGAAATTTGAAAAAAAAAAAACACGTAAGAAAGTAACAAAAGTTGTAACTCAGCTACGCAGATGGCAATCTAACGGCCACGAAGAATCTCCAAAAAGAAGAAAAACTTCAAAATTTTTCAGGTAAAAGACATAGACTAAAAGATCCTAGAATTACTTTAGACCCGTGTTCATCAGTCCCGACAGCAAATATTGCTCGCCCTCCACCAGAAGTGCCACAACTTTTCAAAGCATTCCAACGGAATGCACAGTCACCGATGAGCGCTGAGTATAGGTGACCAATATGTGGACCTCAAGTTCAAAAATAGTATAAAACAGTACTGATAATACAAAAAACAAAAACTGCATAGCGACAAATTAATGACCAAAAAAACACACAACTAATTCAAATTCAAGAAAACAGGGTTAGACAAACGGATTCACCGGTGCTTCTCTAACTAAACCCCTCCAAAATTACGAACAAACTCGGAAGACTTTGGCTGCAAATTCTCACCAGCATTGGCATAAAAAATCGGAATAGTAACGTAGAAATGCCTCTGCCTCACTAATTCACGAACCGCCAAGGCTTTTTTCGGCACCAGTTGTATATTTATTAGTCTTAGCAGACAACCCGACATAAGAAAATGATTTATTGTATGATAACAGACTAAAATGTTCCGCATTAAGTTTCTTCTAAAAACAAAGACTGAACACTAAAAAACAAATAAATCCCTCTTCTTCAACAAAAACAGTTTAACTTTTATTCATAAAAATCCTGATGTCTCCCAACCCAAGAATTAATCAAAATACCTAATCTGGATTTGAACTGACCAAAGCAGCCAGGAACAAATTCTTTCAGCTAACATTCATTACCAAACAACGTAGCATCAGGAGGTCAAGTTCCAGCTATATATTTACAAGAACTGCCTCCATAGCCGTAACTGACAAAACAATTTCAGCATATTGCTTTCATAAAAGAAATTAGATAGAATAGTACTTTAGAAATGATACAGAAACAGTTAACCACTATAAATTAACAATGACAAACCGAAATCTAATACCTAACATCTCCTCTTCTGAGAACTGAAAAGAAGATAAATGTCTCATGTGAACAATGATCTATTTAATAGACTACGCAAATGAATACTGCCTAAGCAATCCTACAAGATAAAAAACGCTACAGCTGCTGAACAAATTCAACCAACACCAATGCTCCTCAAAAAAACCAGAAGCTTCCAGCACCGCATACGACAGCCACTAAAAAGCATCACTAAGGTATCAAAAAAAAAATTCGAAAAACTAAATACAATTAAAAAAGTAATATTACTTACTGACATTACAGCAAAGAAGCATAAGCAATAATTGCATCAGAAAACAAGAAATCACCCAGCATTTTTAAAAGTAAAATTTATGAGTAACAATCAGATACAGCAATAAACTCGACAAGGCTCATAGCGTCTATCTTCCAGAAGGTATGAATTAATATAACAAAAAAATAACACTGAAATTCGCAAACAATTGATTAATATCACCTAAGACTTTATAACTTTGTCTGCGCCGTAAATTGGTTTACCCTCCTTCACTAAACGCTCAATCAGCATGTCCCTCTTTATATCACGTTCCAGCTTTTTCATCCGTGATTCTGGATCATAATATTCAGAACCAGCCAATGGTTTTTGAGCTTTTATTAGCTGAATTTCGTTTCCTTCACCTTGCTTTACATACTTCATCTAAAAAGATGAACTCTGCACAAACTCTGACAAAAATAATAAATTAGCGAAAGGCCAAAATTGAAACCTGTTTGATAGTATAGCAGGATTTAAATAAGAACTATAAGTGCCATACCTCTACATTCACGAACCCCGCAGGTTCCAGCGCAGATAAGTATCGAACCGGATTATATTGACATTCCTGCAAGATCCCCCACCGTTCCAGCTTCTTAAGCCTAAAAAATTAAGGTCACCTGCCAATCAAATAAAAAATAAATTGATGTAGTTAATCTTCAAACTTTATTCAACCTCAAAAACTTTTGAAAAAAGTCTTGAAAAACCAAAAACTTTGTAAATTCCAGAGATCCCTTCTTCAAAAGAACTTAAAAGTGACAATTGAAGCTGTTGAGACCAAAATAAACTGTACAAGAAATACAAAAAACTGACAACTAACACAGCCTACAACACTGGCAACTACGAAAGATTTCACGGATGATATATAACATGAAAGTACCTTCTTAACTCCATCCCACAAATAATTGTGCCACCAGGAACCAAGACCCTCAAGAGGTCTCTACAAATATAATCCAAATTTTGGCCCCAAAAATAATAAGAGTCGACATGGAATATACCATTTAGGGTATCATTTGGATACGGTAATGTGCTCAAGTCAAGGGCCTGGAACTTACCAAATAGTTAAAGAGAACATTTGAAAAACCCTTTCATGAGTTAATAAAACCAAGATTTATTTGGGAGTCAAAGTTGAATGTATATTTCAAGCCCGCAAGACGGCTGCTTCGCTAACAATTCTTCGCCACAAAATAAAACCTCGAGCGAACCACAAAATTTGACAGTTATTACTAAACGCAGAAACTCTGTTGAAGAAACGCTGCAACTTTGGAGTATACAACAAAAAGTGCTTTTACCCGTTCCAAATGCAAGATCTTGTCATCCGCTATTTCGAGAATAAACCGTTTTCTAACGACTTCTTCCAAATAAAGTGACTGTTCGATCCCAAATGCGTGACCTTTGCCAGAACGTAACAATTTCAACACCATGTCAAGACCTTAAAAAGTTATTCTGGAAAATGGTGGTACAAGTATGAAAAAGGTATAAGGCAATAAACCCTCAAAAAATTTACAAATGTGTGTGAACCCAAAATAAGACTTGAAAATAACATAAAAGTAACCAAGAATTGTAAATGGCTATCTAAGAAACACCTATGTGAAGCCAATTTCACACCGCACTTAAGCTAGAATAATGCAAAAAACTTGAAGAACTACCATCGCCTCTGCCATAACTTATTTCAAGAATGTTGTTATCAGGCTGTATATTCAACGCTTCAATCGCAGCTGCTTTGATATGTTTTATTTTCATATCGTCGATATACGAGGTAAGAAAGCCACTGAGCGACCGTACAGGTAAAGCATACTAAACTAAACAAAACCATATAATTCAAAATATCAATTAAGCAAAGACAATTACACTCACGGAAGTCGTAACGAAACCGGATACAATATTTTCCCAAAAAATTAGTGTGCCTTTCTTAAACCCCTCCGTGTTAAAATTAATACTACTGCAGATAAAAATCGAAAGCTAGTATTTTCAAGGACGCTACTCTACTGACTACGATCGAACCTTTTAACACACACTTAATAAATTCCTAAAAGTGCACCAGGCTAAAAACAATTGATTTTGTTCAACAAAAAACTGAGACACGATGTATATAAAAAAAGAAAAAAATGTTCAAACCTGTTCAGCGATATCTTGCACCACTTGTTTGAAATATTTGCGCACAAACTGACCAAGGACCATGACGACACCTGTTACAGTGTAATTTAACCATAAAAAACAACCATTCAAAACGGATCGCCACTAACTACTACTGATCCAGCCGGGAAATGAACGAATTCCATTTGCTAAATCCAAAAAGTATGGTAGCCTCCAACTGGTTGTGACAATTGTCAAAAAGTTTTCTGGCATCTAAATATCACAAACTCCGCCAAAATCAGTAGAGCTTTCCAACTGATCGACAAACAATTACTGCTAAAAAATAACAGTCCAACTATTACATTAAAAACTGCATAGTGCGACAAATACTGACGTTTTCCGGCAGGACATCGTTCAACCGACTGCAGTACATAGTGTTTTTCACAGTTAATTAGGAAAATAAAAAATCAAAAAGGGTACCAAAAGTGTATATATATAATGAAATTCGATAGCTCAAATATGGGTATTCTGCTCCTTCATACAAAGCTTTAAACTTCTCTGTGTTGAAATTTTGCTATGAGTCCAGTTCCACATTTTTAATGTTGTGCTGCTTAGACGGTTATTACAAATTCGGTTCCATTTTTTACTTCTATTTCAGCAAAACTTTACAAAATTTTTTTGATGTAAAATTGC